AAATTTTCCAAATATAGTAATTGATTGACAAAGTATTAAAGAACTTTCTAGAATAAACTCTATATGTAGAAATTCAGATGATTTATTTCACAAAATTTTTTTAATAGACCTATATAAAAAAATTGCTACGAACATTATTTTTGACATGTAGATTCAGAATCCATGCGGATCCATGACGATTTATGAGGAGATTATTTCACAGCAATACAAAGAAATATACACGTCGCCATTACAGCATTAAGTATCAAGTCCAGAAGTTAGACTTTCCTAATTGCTTTTCTCGGAGCTGTAACAAAAAGAAAAAAGAAGTAAGATATCAGGTATGTACTCGAAAAGGGTGTGCGCATTTATAAAACCGTGTATATACGCCTCTTATAAGCTAGATTAGGCTATACTGCATTTGGAGAGAATTTGTTCGAAGTGTGCATTTTTGATATATACACTTAAGATTTGACCATAGAAAGAATACACCAACGATTAATGAAAGGTAAGCCACGTTACTTTGGTTATTGTTGAATAATTTTAAATTTATTTTACATGCATTATAATTTTAGCAGTCAACAAGCTTGCTATAGTGCATTGACTTAAGATATTTTGTTTATCAATAGTTCTGTAGTTATTCGTAGATCTAATTCGAAAGTTATCTGAATATTTTCTTGTATTTTCTTGAATTATTTAGTACAGTAGGGTCAGCATTTAATGCTTAATATCTTCAATTCTTTTAGCAATTCGTAGCCAAATTGGTTCTTTATTTATGTGTTCAGACAAGATCCAAATTCGCGAGTCATAGAACAATTCGAATGTTATTTCGAGACTTCTGAATTTCTTTTTGTAGTTTCTTGAATTACTCGGTACAGAAGAGTGTTACCATTCGTAGCCAAATCAGTTTCTGTTCAGGCAAAGTCGAGAATATCATCCAATTTTGCAGGATTATGCATCAAGATAGTCGAGTCGAGATCAATTCGAATATTATTTAGAGACTTCTGATTTGTGTTTATAGCTAAGTATCATTAAAATTTATTCCTTGTTTGTGTTATACTATAATACCATACTATAGTTCTGTTCACTTCACTGACACCCATTTCATAGATATAACACTTAACCTACAATCAATTCACCGACATGTTTATTTCATGGACAATCAATTCCTAGACAAGTTCATTTCGTAGATAACTCATTTCACTGACAGCTCATTTTACCGACATTATTATCATTAGAATTGGGTTAGGGTTTAGGATTAGGGTTAAAGGAATTTATAAGAAATAAACTTGTCAGTGAAATGAGCTGTCAGTGAAATGAGTTGTATACGAAATGAGCTTGTCTAGGAATTAGTTGTCTGTGAAAAGTACATGTTGGTGAATTAATTGTAGGTGAAATGTTATGTCTATGAAATGGGTGTCGGTGAAGTGATACATATCCATAATACTGTAATATCTATGAATGTTGTTTTGAAAATTGAACTCTTGAAAAATACTGCCTATGGGTATGTAATTCTCATTTAGCGTTACTTTCTAAAATTTCTGTGCTACTATCTTATTTTTTATTAGATATTTTGTATTACTTATCACTATTTTAATTTCTTTTATATCAATATTATTTAGTTAGCCTAAAATTGAGACGTTGCACACTGGAAAAATCTTCAAGTAGAGATTCACAAATCCACACTATGCCTTTTTTAGCATATTATAGATTAATTATCGTTATTCCTAATTTAGCTATGTGTAGTAAACATTTCTTGAAAGACGTGTTGTGACAAAGCGTTTCACACATTTATTTTTCTCTCGTACTAATGATATGAGGATGGCACAAGGAATTATTTGTATATTAAAAATAGATTAATAGTATAAGAAAATTTCTTAATGATATCAATAAATCTGTGGTAGGCTCTGTTAATGTAAAAATGGGAATTCATTGAATTATTCTTTTTTTAACGCTTTTCTTTTGTTATATTTTTTTTAAGAAAAATGAAATTTATTAAACGTGTCAATGAATAACTATGAAAAAGTAAAATGTATTTAAACTGTAACTTTGACATTTAATAAAGCTTTTCTAAAACACGAGTCTACTGAATAAATAAAAATACAAAGTAAATTTGAACTAAATGCAATATTCATATTAATCTGATTTTTTATATCCTTCAAACTTATTTCTTTAAAACATCTCCGTTACTATCATTATAATATAATCCCTTATCTTAAATATTTATTATTAAAGTATCTCGACTTAAATTCGTCTTCATATCCCTGCATATATATTAAAACTATTAGTTACTTAATCATACATTTCTTTTAAACATATATTAACCTTATTTATTATTATTTATTCTACTCTTATTAATATCTTTCATCTATTTAATCAACTCTGCTACTATTTATTATTAATTATTATCGTGACTAAACTCAGCTCATATTAAGATTTCTTTTTTTAAGATAGTAATACTGTCTTGTTATTCAGTAATTATTATACTAAATTTAAAATTCGGATATATAAAATATTAATATTCGAACTTTAATTAACAGAAGGTAGTTTTTTTCTTATGCTAATCAGTAATGGCGACTTCAAAACCTGAAGCTAAAAATTTACCTTGTATATTCGATTCTCTTGCGGATAAATATCCAAAAAGCCAGCTAGTACAATGTGAAGTTAAAGAAAATCAGAGACGACGACATGCATCAGCAGAAATGGCAGTAAACAGAATTGCAATTGTAGCTCAGCACTTTCCTGAATTAAGTTTATTACTGAATTCTTTAGAAAATTACTCGTTATGTGAAAGGCATTATAATCAAATCGTTGCTAAAAATTCATTTATTAATAAATTACAAGAAAATTCTAAAGAAAAAGACAATAATAAATCAAAAACTTCCTGTGATTTTGAAGTTCAGGTATCTTCACCTGATCCTGAATTAGAAGAACTTCTTAATGAAGTTGACAAATTAGAGCGTGCTCATATACGGTTATTATCTGAAAATAAAATATTAAAAAAAAAATTAAGTAAAAGATTTGATGATCAACAAGATCGTATCGAAGCTATAATTGAAATTGCAAAAAAAGAACGAAGCAATTTATATAATGATGTATTCAAATTAATAGAAGATCATGATCGGTTTCATTTAGATAATCTTTTAAAATATTCTCTATCTCAATGGCTTAGTAAACGAAACCCAGTTGTTGTAAAATTCATTGAATTGCTTACCTTAAATGAAAATGAAAATCGACATGAAGGTGAAAAATTATTTAAATGTGCTGTAGCAGTTGATGTGATTTATGGAATAAGACATCAAAAATACGTATCAGCTATTAATTTAGCAGCATCGGCAATTAAATATTCCATAGCAAGGTCGAAATCGATTATTGATATAGATAATCATTTTATAAGTTCTGGTAGTTATAATAAATTTATTAAATGGCAAGAAGATTTAGCTGGCGAATGCCAACCATTTCCAGAAGGTTTAATTGCTATGGCATTCGATAATGAACAAAAAGGCCAAAAAAACTATTTAGACCGTGGCCATAATACTGTCGTATACCATACCATTACAAGTTTTGTTATATTTAATTTTAATCAGGTTCTTTAAAGTTTTCTGCTTTTTGGCTTTTGAAAGACTCGAGTTCTTGTTCTCTTATATTTACCTATTTTAGCTTGTTGTTGTAGTAGTATATTGAAAATTTAGAGATATTTATCATATTTTCTTGGCTTTCAAAATACACTGTCATACTTCTCATATTGTTATTATTGGAATTTTAGAAGATATGTAATGCCTTTGCTCCTGACTTCTTAATTTGTCTTCAAAATAAAACTTCATTTGTATTTTCTAATAAGTCTAATAGCTTTTTGCTGAACCTATTTCTTGTATGAAGTATTTCTTGATTGTTAGTATCTGAAGTAATTCTTACTAATATTTGGTTTGTGAATAGTAAACATCAAATCTCTTTCTTTATCTTTTCATTACAAGTGCCTGCTTTAAACTTAATTTCTGCTCTAGTTTTGTCATATACACCTTTAATCATCTCTATATGTTTAACTCTTCTTATAAAATATACTATCTCGAAAACTTGTGTTCTTTTTGCCTAGCTTAGTAAGTCCTAAACTGTTATTTTATTTTTGTCTTCACTTTTATTTATATACTTAGGATCTTGTTATCTTTTAGTATTTTTCTTAAATATAATTTCTTGTTGCTTTATGATATTTGTATCCTTCTTCTTCCTTCTTATGAGGACTTCCTCTAACTCTAATTTTGCTAATTCCTCTTTTCTTTTTCTTGATTCTAGATCAGAAGTTTCTATACTCTAATTATCTAGCACCTATATATCTTTTTTTTCTTTAGTGCTTTCTTCAAAGATTAGTTTAGCTTGTTCATATATTTCTTTTTTGTTCTCTAGCTTTTTTTTAGCTTCTTTATAGCCTTTTTTGTAATCAAATATTAATGTACATCATAAATTACCTCTTTCAAACTTTTCTGATATTTTTTTTAGATATACATTTCTACTAATTGACTACCTCAATAATTTTTCTCTATGTTCTGCATTATTTCCAAGTATATTAATAGTTGCTACTTTCGCTCTTATATTTTCTTCTTCTTTATATCTATTTTTACTTAGTATCCAGATACTTTTCTCTAGTGAGGAATCAGATTCTACAGGCATCAAATCTTCTTCTAATTCTTCTATAGTATCAAAATACTGATTTTGGCTTATTCTGAATGTATCTTTGTTCTGTATTTCTTTAATATCTTCTATTAGACTATATATTTCTTTACTTTTTTCACTTGTTAAAGAGTGATTTACTACTACTACTTGTTCTTCTTCTATACTGTTATCTATTTTTGCTGAATCTATTTGTTTTACTATTTTTATGTCTAGTTTACTCTCATTTTCTTGAATTGTTAATTCATTACTTTTTGTAGTCGTATTTTGAGCTTCTTGTCCTAAAACTATTTTAACTTTATTTATTCCTTCTGTTATTGCAGCTCTCTCTATGACCTTTCCTCATTCTCTTACTAATATTACTATATCACTCTCTACTTCTAGTATTTCTGCGATCATTCTATCTATATGATCTTCTAAACTCATTACTGCTTTGCTTTCTTCAGTAATTATTTCTTTACCATACTCTTTAGTTATTATTTCTGCTAGTCTTTTTGCTTTTTTTCTGTTCTACATACTTTACTCTCTATATATTTTATTATCTAAAAGTGATCTCGTCTTTTTTGAATAATTCTTCATAGATTTTCCTAGTTGTCTGTAAGCTATCTAGTTTTAGTTTTACATATAATACCTCTACTGTTGAGCATATAACACATAATTTTCCTATAATGTATTTTTGTTTACCTTAATTTGCATATGTTTATACTATATCAAGTAATCTGTAATTCAGAGTTTTTTTTTTTTTTACTTTATACAAATACTATTAGCTGAAATTTTTATTAGTATTGATAGTGAATAAATATTACATATTGTGAGAGTACAACTAGCCATACATACAACTTTAGATTGTCTAATTTAAGTAATCAACCTGAAGATTCTACACTAGCTGCTATATCTGAAATCTATTTGAAGATTACCTATTTAAACTCTCTGGCTCTATGACACTTACTCGTATTCTATCCTTTTTTACCAAGGTTCGCCTAACCCTATGCTACTTCTTCTGAAAGATACCTGAGCTGACATTAGTCTACAAACTTTATGGTTCGGAGTCTAGACCCTATCACAAGGTGTTCCTTCACCAACTCCCTAACTGATGAGTACTGCAGTACCTAACTATGCTATACTATATCCCAATCTAGCTTGTATAAACTCTTGTTCGATGTTTTTACAAACCCAGTTCCTACTGTAGCCTTCTACCAAGTTAGTCATCTATGCTTCTAGATATCACATGAAGTAGATTCTCCTAAATTTGTTACTTGGTGTTGCCTGCTTTGCCACTGGATATCACATGAGACAGATCTTCCCAAATCTAGTTAACTACCAAGCCAAGTTGGTGTTGCTGTATGATCTCATGTAATGGACTTACTCATATCTGTTTTATTGATCTTTCTATACTCAGGACTTACTCATATCTATTTCGCTGATCTTTTTATATGCAGATTTCCTTTCTCAGATCAGATGTTAACTAGTATAACCAGTAAAATCTGTACTACTTTACCTAACTTAGGATTTCTACTATACAGGTCCTCTGCTCATAGATTCTATCAAGATTTATTTATGTAATATTATGCCTCACTGAATGCTCTATTACACTTCCAATACCTGATTAGTATTGGTGTAATGTGATTTACAGGATTACAACCCTAGAAACAAGCAGAGTTTTACTGTAAGTTGGATACAGATGTCTAGGTAATTATTTAATTCTGTATCTAGTAGGATTTGAACCCTAGACCTCTTGCATAGTAGTCTGGCAACCTAACTACTATACTAAGATCACCAAACCTATTCAGAGTTTGTTTAATTCCCCAATATTCTAAAAAAATTTTTTCTATTATCTATTATCAAATCGAAACTTCTTCTATAATCTTAACTTTTTCTTATTTTTTTTGCAAAGATATATATATTTTTCTATGCTCTTCTTTTTTAATTAGTAGCTTTTATGTTCATTCTTAGTAGAAATTTTGAGTTTTCTTGTTTTTTTCTTCTACTTCAAATTTGGTTAAAATGATTAATAGAGAAAGTACTTCTTATTACTTAATATATATAAACAGAGTATTTTAAATATATATAGAAAGAATACAAGTATACAATTTATAATATTAAAATACAAGTTCCCTATAAGAAGATATCATCAGATTGGCAATATCCTATTGTAGGGCAGCAGTCAGACAAAGCAGTCTATCTCCATTTGAGATAGTGCAGCAGGTTGTACTTAGGTCCTATAAGGGAACCGAGTAATACTAAGCTTAGGAAATTAGGTTAAATCTTCTGAAAAATGTATAGTTTTAAAAAGTCTAATAAAGTATTAGTGTGACTGCTTAAGAAAAAAAAAAATATTAAAATACAAGTTTAGTATATACAGTTCTTCAAATATTAGATGCAGACTTATTCTATTAGCTATGCTATTTAGAAACAAACTATCACTACTGTAGATATATTATATATTTTGAAATTAGTACTAAAAAAATATTTAGCTAATCCTATTCTCAACAAACTATTTCTGTATATTTTAAATTAACTCATAGCTCTATCTATAATAAAACCAAAGTAGTAGTATATAATATTGTATTTAGTTATCAATTTAATATTTTCTTAGATAATTCTAAAAATATTATTCTAATGAAAAAGGAAATTTCTAAATTGACTGAAGTAATAAAAAACTTCCTTTCTAACCGTAATAATTCTTCAAGGTCAAATATTCTTAGATAAATATATTAGATATACTATCTAATCTCATTTTTTCTTTGATTTTAAAGTTATATCTTTTGATACCTATATTAAATTCCTAACTAATCCTACTACTAACAACTTTTATTTAAATAAAACACTAGAAGAAGCTTTAGAAACTCACTTTTTTTATCTTTAATAAATGTAACAGCTAATACTGAAATTAGCTAATAGTAAGACTTATATGACTAATACTGATCTTTATATATTCTACAGATTAAGTGCATTAAAATAACTATCAGTTAATCATTATATAAACAGATCAGATACATTAAAATAATCATTAGTTGTTCATTAAATAATATATTACAGTCAGAAAATTTTCCAAATATAGTAATTGATTGACAAAGTATTAAAGAACTTTCTAGAATAAACTCTATATGTAGAAATTCAG